GCCATGGGGGGCCAGAGGCTGGGCTGGTGCTGGAGCAGTCACCACGAGCTGGAGGGAAACTGAGGCATGAAGGTGTGAAGGGACCCCATGCAAATGATGGAGCAGAGGGTTCTGGCAGTGGTGGCAGAGATATCCTGGTGCCTGGGCACCGGCTCCTCCCCTTTAGCATCCCGGGCTGAGGCCCGGTGCTGCCGGGGGCACGTCCTGCCTGCCCGCAGCAGCGGGATGCGCTCTTGCACCTGGGTGGCCTGATCCTGGTCCCCTGCGTCCTCCTCCGTGGGAGCAATCGGGATATTAAGTGTCATCGCTGCAGGGAGAAATACAAGGGGAAGAATCCCGGGAAACTGGTTCTACCCCTCCATCCGGTGCCGGCGGCAGGCCGGCGGCTGCGGCGGCGCTCCTCCCTCGGCAAAGGCATAAAATGCCTGCCATGGTCCCGGCAGCCGGCACTGCGCGGCAGGAGGCGGCCAGGGGAGCAGGCAGCGAGCCATGGCCTCCATGGGGATGCAGGTGCTGGGTATCGCCCTCTCCGTCATCGGGTGGTTGGCTTCCATCCTCTGCTGCGCTCTGCCCATGTGGCGGGAGACGGCCTTCGTCGGGAACAACATCGTGGTGGCGCAGATCATCTGGGAAGGGCTGTGGATGAGCTGCGTGGTGCAGAGCACGGGGCAGATGCAGTGCAAGGTCTACGACTCGCTGCTGGCCCTGCCACAGGACCTGCAAGCCGCCCGTGCCATGGTGGTGGTGGCCATCGTCCTGGCCATCCTGGGCACCCTGCTGGCCGTCGCCGGGGGCAAGTGCACCAACTGCGTGGAGGACGACACCGCTAAAGCCAAGGTCATGATCCTCTCTGGCGTCATCTTCATCGTCGCCGGTATCCTCATCCTCATCCCCATCTCTTGGTCAGCCAACAGCATCGTGCAGGACTTCTACAACCCGCTGGTCTCTGACTCGCAGAAGCGGGACCTGGGCTCGTCCCTCTATGTGGGCTGGGCGGCCTCGGCGCTGCTGCTGCTCGGGGGGGGGATCCTGTGCTGCACCTGCCCCCCCCGCGGGGAGAAGCCCTACTCCGCCAAATTCACGGCTGCTCGCTCGCTGCCAGCCAGCAACTACGTGTAGGTTCCGCCTGCCCGGAGCCCCCGGCCGCTCCAGGGAGGGGGGACCTCCGGGGACAGCAGCCCCCGGCTGGGCTGCGACTGGCCGGGCGCCGGGGTGGTGCGAGGGAGCGCAGACAGAGCCGCCTTTGTTCCACCGGGATTGGAGCCGGTTCTTTAATCTCGGTTGAGACAGGGGACAAGGAGATCCTGTCCTGGCTGCCCGCGGTGGGGGTCCTGCTCCCCCCGGAGCATCCAGCTGAGGCATCTTCTCCGAGACACCGCCTGATCTCCTCGGGCATTTCCTGGCTCCCGGTATCGGGGTGTGCCATGTGGTGACACAGCTCCCGAGAGCCCGTCCCAGGCTGGCAGAGGGCTCTCTTTCCCTGCGTGAAGCTCCCCGGGACGTGTCCGTCCCTCGGGGTGGGTGGCGGTGTCGGTGCTGTAGGGACAGCCAGCCTGTCCCACGCGCTCACAGGGACGTGGTGGCTCTGCAAACCCCGCCAGGGTCTTGAGGGGTGACAGGGGCTCTCACCTGCCTATTCCCTAAATTTTGACTTTGACCTACTTTCGGGGCTCGGAGCGGCCGTACGGTGTGATTTCTCGCGGCAGCTCCCCAGGGCGGGGGCATCATTATCCTGGGAGTGGGAAGGCAGCGGCCGGGCTGGGAAAACCGGTCGGGGAGGCGGGACCGGAGCGGAGCTGTGCCCCCGCATGGTGGGGGGCGACTCCGGACCCGACCCCATCCCTCTGCCTACTGTGGAGTGCCCGGGGCCGGGAGTGGGTTCTCACGGTACCCCTGCTGTGCTGCCGTCCCTCCCCTGTTCAGCCTTCCCGCATTAAACGGCAGCTGCTCAGACCCCGCTGTGCCTCGTGTTCTTTATCCCCTCCAACCCCCGCCTCGGCCGTGGGACAGCCGAGCTCCTGTGCCCTGGGCTCCCGTCCCCCTGAGAGATCACCCAAATCTGCTCTTCGGAGCCTCATGAGATCCCCGCCGCCTGTTCCAGCCCTGGCATCACTGGCCGCTCCCCTCCGGCACCGGGCCCGTCCCACGCCCGACCGGCCGCGATCTTCCCAGGCGGGCAGGGAGGAGGCGAGGGGCGGCCGGGGCGGGTCGGGGCTCGCTGGCCCCGGGGCCACCCCACAGCCCCGGCTCCGAGCGCCCCGGGGCCGGCGTGGGCAGCTCCCCGTGGTTTGTCTGTCTCGCCTCCGGCACGGCAAGTGCTCCTCTGCCTTGGGAACATCTTTCCTTCCTTCCTTCCCACCTCGGGGTCCGTGGGGACGAGGAGTGACTCCGCCTGCCTCTGGGTGTCTCATCTGGATCTGAGGGCTGGAGGACTCCCAGCTCCCCAGTCCCACTGGGCACGGGAATGGTGGAGAATGTGCCTGCAACCCTGTGGTGCCGGTGGCCAGCTGGGAATGCGAGCACAATGCTCTGTCGAGCATCCCTGGGGATCCACGGAGCCACCGCCTGTCCCCTGCACCCCGTTTTGGGTGTCTCATGTGGCCCAGGTCCCGCTGGGTGGGGAAGGGTGCCTGGGATGGCTCCCACCATCCCTGCCCCTGCCTGCCTGGAGCACGGGGAGAGGGGCTGTGATTTTGGCCCAAAGGGTCTTTCATGGCCCAGGGGATGCAAAGTCCCAGTGCTGGGTGTCCATCGGGCTCCTGAGGGATAAAAGGGGCTGGGTGAGGAGTGGGGATACAACGGGAGAGGAGAGGCTGGAGAAACTGAAACTGGGACAGGGGAAATGATGGTGAAACCTCTGGCAAGAGCCCCAGGGTGTGCCAGGCATGACCGATACCCGCTGAGCTCGGGGCCATAAAACCCTGCTGGTCGCAGCTGCCAAGCGTGGCACAGGCACCCATGGGTGAACTCTGCTCCGTGAGGGGCTGATCTGGCTTTGGGCTGAGCCAGGGCCACAGCAGTCACACATGACCATGGTGGAGCTGCCAGGGTGCCCAGTATGTGTCCCTGTACCAGCCACCCCTCTCTCAGGGATGCCGTCTGTGGTGACCCCATAGCCCCTCGCCAGTGTTTGCCTTCCTGGGGCTGCTCCAGGATGGTGCCATGGAAGGTGCCAAGCACCAGACCTGGGATTGGGGCAGAGCTGAGCTCTGACCCATTTCCGTTTTCCTCTGGAGAGGAGATCCCGGGTCCAAAGGGCACGGTAGCACGGCTGTGAGGGTGAAACCAAACTGGGAGCAGGCGGTGCTGAGTGGTGGGGGGGCGCTGCCTTCCCTGCCCATGCCCCTGGCATGAGACTCATGGCCGGGGAGGCTGAGCACCCATGGTGGAGTGGGACGTGGGGTGGGCACTGGGGGATGGCCACCAGGGCAGGACATGGGGTAGGTGTGGGGCAGGGGATTTGCACTCTGGAGCCCCCCATCCTGCTCCCCTGAAGCCATCCTTTCCCTGGCACTTGCCATGCCCTGGGAAGGGGTGATGGCAGGGACTATACTGTGGGGACAGTGTAGGGGCCAGTGTGACACATGGGGGCTCCTGTACCTTGGCCTGCTTGGGGTCTGGGTCCTCAGTGCCACATGTGCCCCATCCTGTCCTGCAGCACTGCCCCATGCCACTCATGTCCCCGTGTCCTTCAAGTCACCATGTCACTCATGTCCCCATGCTGACCTGCAGCCATTCCCACCCTGGTGGGGAGCAGGCCATAGCAGCTGAAGCCCACGCTGTCCCTGGCTGAGGGCTGTGCCTGTGACACCCGTGCTTGTCCCCGCAGGAGCTGTCAATGGCCATGATGACAATGCAGATGGGAGGACTGATGATGGCCGCGCTGGGCTGGCTGGGCTCCATCCTCACCTGTGCCCTGCCCATGTGGAAGGTGACGGCCTTCATTGGCTCCAACATCGTGGTGGCCCAGGTGTTCTGGGAAGGGCTGTGGATGAACTGTGTCTACGAGAGCACGGGGCAGATGCAGTGCAAGGCCTACGACTCCCTGCTGGAGCTCACCTCTGACCTGCAAGCTGCTCGTGCCCTGGTGGTCACCTCCATCTTCGTGGCCTTCTTTGCCTTCTTCATCGCCCTCTCGGGAGCTGACTGCACCCGCTGCGTGGATGACAGTGGCACCAAGACCAGGATCTCTGCGGTGGCAGGTGTAATCTTCATCATGGCCAGCATCATGCTGCTCATCCCCGTCTCCTGGTCTGCCAACAGCATTGTCAGCAACTTCTACAACCCCATGGTGCCTGAGGCCCTCAAGAGAGAGCTGGGGGCTGCCCTCTACATCGGCTGGGCCTCCAGTGCCCTGCAGCTCTTTGGTGGGGGTGTCCTGTGCTGCTCGGGATCCCAGTCCCAGCAGGACCCCTACCCCAAGAAGTACAGGGCTGTGAAAAGCTGTGGCCCGATGGGCTATGCCATGAAGGACTATGTGTGACCACTGTGCCCAGGTGGCAGCCCAAGGCAGAGCACCACCGTCCCTGTCCTGCATCCCTGTGCCACCCCCTGCCCCTGCACTGCCTCCTCCCGCCCATCCCCACTCTGGCTGACCCCCAGCACGGTCCCCAAATGTGCCCTTCCCCAGGGCAGGGACTATAAACATCCTGGTGCCACCAAGGCTGCCTGGGCTCGTTTTGAACAGCGCGGTACGGGGAGGATGGTGACGCGTCCCGGGGGGTGCTGTGCCCTGTTCCAGCACCTGGAACATCCCCATCTTCCCATGGGGATCAGCAGTAGCGAGCAACGGTGCTCCTGGCATTCCCTGCAGCAGGAAACTGAGGCAGGGAGAGGATGCTGGGAACCAAGAGAGGCACAGGGGGACACCAAGTGCTCTGAGCCCCCATGGGCTGGGAGCAGACCCAGAGAAAGGCTGAATCCCCACTCCCAGGCTCCAGTCACCCTGGAGGGTGCATGTTCCCATTGCTCTGGGAAAAACAGCAGGCAGACAGCAGGGACAGAGCTTTATTGAACAGGCAAGTGCAGGGCTGGGGACAGCCACAACCCCTCAGCTGCCCAGGGGAAAGTGCTGGAGACAAACGGGGAGGGAGCAGCAGAACAGCTACTGATGGGCACAGGGACCCCAAAACATGGGGGACGAAGCAGGAGGGTGACAAGAGCCATGGGGAGGGCGAGTATGGAAGATGTGGCATGCCCTGGGTGAGCGACAGGGACAGACACAGTCCTCACATGGAGGAACAGCTCCTGAGGGGATGGATGCAACCTGTTCTCCAGGAACATGGGAACAGGATGAGCAGGAACAGGTCTGAGGAAAGGAAAAAATGAAAAGAACCCCAAATATTCCAGCAAGAGATTTGGGTAAAAAACTTCCCAAGGGAGCAGTGGAGGAGAAATTGTGGAGGCAGCCCAGCAAGGGGCTGGAGGAACAGGCTGGGCAGGCAGTGCTGGGTCGGGAGCAGCCACCAGCTCCCCAAATCTCTTCCAAACTCACTTCCCCACCCAGACCATTAACTACAAAGCTGTGGGAAAATGAGAGATTCAAGCAGCTGTTGTGGAATGAAAGGCAGATGTGGCACTCGGACAGCCCCTCCAGCTGGGAGCCACCTTGGCATTGCTGCTTTGACTCTGGATGTGGAGGCTCCTGCACCTCAGCACTGGGTCAGTCCCTGGGGAAGATGAGGATGGGGACTCACCTCCAACAGTCCCCAGATAAAGACTCTGGGGGTAGGAGATGAAGAAGGATCCAGATTTTGACCATGAGCGCTGAGGTTGGTGAAGTGGGGAGAAGACAACCCAGACTGGACATATCTTGGAGCAGCCATGTGGGTCTGTGAGATGTCATGGTGAGCGTTGAGGTGTTGGGGGCAATACCTGAATGTCAGGGCTAAAGGTGGTGCCAAGGAGACTCCTGGTGAATCCAGGAGACCCTTCCCGTGCTGAGGAGCAGACAAGGACCCCAAGCCCAGACCTCGGTGAGAAGGTAGAGAAGGAAGGGAATGGGGAAATTTCCCCCAAATACTGTCACCCCCAGCAGCTGCCCTTCTGCAGGAGGGAGTCACTGGGCTCAGTTTTATCAGGGTGCTCACACTCCCCTCCTCCCCCAGCTCCCCCAGAGCCATGCTAGGTCTCAGTCCTCCTCGAGGTGGGGGACAGGGCACTTCTGGTAGATGTAGACGACCCCGGAGATGTAGCCGTTGCCCCGGGTGCTCTCCTCCTCGCTGGTGGCCCTCTCCCAGTACTCCACCTCCTGGGCCAGCAGCTTCTGCCAGGCTCCGCTCCGCTCCAGCTGCCCCAGCGCCGCCTCCAGCTCCGCCTTGTACCGGAGGTTCGAGGGGTTGCTCCTCGTCGTCAGGCACAGGAAACCGCCTGTGGGACAGGAGACAGGTAACACTGACACAGGGTGTCCCTCTCTGGGGACATCGCCCAGAAAGGGGACACGGGGAGACACTGAGAGCCTGCCAGGAGCCAGCGGGCAGGGGACAGGCAGGACAGAACACGGACAGGGGATGGACAGGGCATGGACAGGGATGGACAGGGCATGGACAGGGGATGGACAGGGCATGGACAGGGATGGACAGGTCATGGACAGGGATGGACAGGGCACGGACAGGGCATGGACAGGGCATGGACAGGGCATGGACAGGGGATGGACAGGGGATGGACAGGGGATGGACAGGGCATGGACAGGGCACGGACAGGGATGGACAGGGCATGGACAGGGCACAAACAGGACAGCAGGCAGAGGTGAGCAGGACAAGGGGCCAGCGGGCAGGGAATGGGCAGGGGAGGGGCGGGATGTCTCGCCTGAGCTCAGGCTGCACCAGCGCTGCTACTGCCACCTTCTAGCCTGTCCCGCTGCCCAGAGCTGGCAGTGGGCAGGGTCAGGGACCCCGTGCCACCGCCCGTCCCTGCAGCAGGGACAAGGCCACATCCCAGCCGTGCTACGGGTCCAGCGTTCAGCGGGGGACCCACATCCACCGGGGCTCGGTGTCCCACGCCACCATGGCAGGGGTCCCGGCGGGGAGGGGAAGCCTCTCCCCCCTTACCCGGCTTGGTGACCCGCAGCAGCTCCGGCAGCACCGTGCTCGGCACCTGCCCCTCGCCCAGAGCCCCCACCAGCGTCACGGCGTCATAGTGCTCTGCGAGGACACGGGGCGTCACCGGGGGACCCTCCGGGGCTTCCCCCGCCCGGTGCCGGCCCGTCACCTGCGGCCGGTCCGCCTCCCGTTACCTGCGGGCGCGGGCAGCGGTTCCCTGCCCAGGACACAGAGCCGCAGCTCCTCGTACAGCCCGGTGCTCCGCGCCCGCTCCAGCATCCCCGCGCTGCCGTCCACGCCGTGCAGGCAGCGGAACCCGCGCCGGTGGAGCTGCGGGGACAGAGGCACCGTCACCCCCGCCCGTGCCGCTGTCCCCGTCCCGCCCCGCCCATGCCACCGGTACCTCCCGAGCCACGAGCCCGGTGCCACAGGCCACGTCCAGCAGCCGCGTCCCCGCCCGCGGCGCGAAGGCGAAAGCGAGCGAGGCGGCGGCGAGATGCGGCGCCCGGTACTCCAGAGCCGCCACATCCTGCGGGGACACGGCGGTCAGCGGGGACAGCCGCGGGCCCCCGCCGCTCCCGCTCCCGCCGTGTCCCCGGGCACCTGCTCGTAGCGGGCGGCCCAGCTGTCGTACAGCCGCAGCCGTTCGGGCAGCGTGGAGCCCCGGTGAGCCGCGGCCACCCTGTCCCGGACGGCGGCCGGCAGCCCCATCCCGGTACCGCTCGGTACCGTCCGGGCCAAGTGACCCGCAGCGGACCCCGCGCCCATTGATCCACGGGCTCTGCTCCGGCCACGCCCCCCCCGCCCTGGCCCCGCCTCCCCCGAGGCGCCCCAGCTCCTCATTGGCTCCTCGTTCGGCCCCGGCCACGCCCCCGAGCGCGGTGACCCCGCCCAGGACCGCCCGGAGAACCCCATTGGCTGCCGGAGCTGCCCCCGGGGCGTCCGGAGCGACCAAGTGCGCCCGGAAAGGGGGGGGGACGGGCCAGGTGTCCGGAGAGCCGAGCAAGTGTCCGAGCGGTGACCGAGTGCCCCAGGGGGGTGCCAGGGCCAGGGGTGGTGACATCAAATGCGGGCGTGACACCGGATCGCGGTGGGTGCGGCACCAGGAGCACCGCGGCTGTCGCTGTCTCCCAGCAGTGCTCGCTGTTTCTGCTGCTCTGGCACCTTTAAGGGTCAGTTCCCATTGCGTCACTCATGTCCCAGGCGCGGGGACAGTGTCCTGGACGGGTCACCTCCTGCTCGGCCCTGGCCCCAGCCCCACACGGCCGCGGTGATGCGCTGTCACCTCCATCCTGCACCCGCATCTCCTTCCTCCACTCCGAGCGCCACCAGTGCGGCCACCACCGTGTCCCTCCGTGTCCCGCCGTGTGCGGCACTGACAGCCCGGGACTGTCCCCGGGAGGAGGCCACCCGTCCCCGGGGCAGCTCTCCTTGTCCTGCCCGACCTATCCCGCCCCCTCGGGGGTTCCGGTCCCGTGGGGACAGGACGGGACAGGAGCGGGCAGCTGGAACTGATGGTCCCCAGGGGTCCCGTCCAGCTCCGGGTGTGCCGTGGGTGCATCACCTGCGGCGAGTTCGGCTTTTGCTCAGAGCAAGAAACACCCCAGAGAACCAGCGCCATGCACGGGGAGGGCGGGATGTCACATCCAGATCAGAATTCCCTGGAATGCCTGATCCAGGTGCCCAACATTGCTGGCGTTCCGTCTCCAGCTCCGTTCTCTCTCTCGGGCTCTGCCTGGGAGGTCACTCCGGGGGTCCCCGGTTAAACCAACTTCGGTGTCGCAGCGAGGACGAGGGACAGGCTCCGGGACAAGCCAGAGCTGTGCCTGTCGCCTCTGGCTGTTTCCAGCAGCGAAACACACGGATCCAGCAGCTAATTAGTGGCGGATTCAGCCGCTAATTAATGTCGGGACGAAAATGCGGTGCCCTGACGAAGCCGGTGGACGCCCCGAGGCCGCGTCGGTGGCCTCGTCACCTCCCGTCCCCGTGTCCCCCGCTCCTGTGCCCTCCCCTGGTCACACGCGGGGACAGCGCTGGCCCTGGAGAGGGAGCCCTCCACCCGCGGCTCGGAGCCTCCCGGAGCCGGGCTCCGGAGTCCCGCGGAGCTCCCGCGGGGATGGCACAGGGCAGGAGGGGCTGGCGGCGGCCAGGGACAGCGGGGACCGTCCCTGAGGACACAGGGATGGCTCCCGCGGGGGCTGCAGCCCTGTGACAGCTCCTGACACTGTTCCTGGGCATTTTGTCCCCTCTGCTGCCACCAGCGTGGGCCCAATTCCTGTCCCTTGTGCTTGACGTCCCCGGGAGGGCTGTGGCCTCCAGCAGGGGCTCTCACAGCCTCCTGATGGTTCCCACCACTAACTGAACCTTCATTTGCAAACCAGTGCTGGGATGCACTGCCAGCACCCCGTGTCCCTGCTCTGCCGGCCCCAGGGGCTCTCGGACCTTGCCTTCTGCAGCCTTGACCCGCACGGATCCAGCCCCGAATTTGCCGGTGCTTTCCCAAGCGCCCCCTTCCCGCGGCTGGCTGGCTGTGTCACAGCACAGCTGTGCAAACATCTGCACCCCGTGCCACCACCGTGGCTCTGGGCTGGCTGGGACCCGGCACGGCCCAGCCGTGGTGTGCACCAGACCTGCTGCCAGCGTGGATGCCCCGGGTTGTCCCTGCTGAGGGCAGGGGACAGTGGTGGCAGCAGGTTTTTGGCAGGTTGCACCGTCCCGTGGCCAGTGCCAGTGTGAGGCTGGACTTTGTCCTGACACGTGGCGTGGTGCTGGCGGGCTTCCACTGGGTCCACAGGACATCCCTCTCCCGTGGTGCAGGTCCTTGGGGCGCTATCCTTGTCCCCTGCCTGGGGACAGGGGTCTGTCTGTGCACTCATGGGGCGATGGGACCCTGGAGCTCAGCTCAGCTGCCCTGCTGGAGGAACATGTCCCCCCAAGGCAGGGGCTGAGCCCCCTGAGATCTCTGCTGGGACCTCACCTGCCCTCCCAGGCCAAGGAGCTGCTGCAGGTGTGGAAGGGGAGCTTAGGGGGGTCCCTTGCCTTCAAATCTGCCACTGAGCTGGGACTGGGGTTGGGAAAGCCAGGTCTGTGCTGGCATCTCCAGGGTGGGCAATGTCACCTGGCACCAAACCTGCCTGCAGGTCCCTCCTCCAGACCTTCCTGGATCCCCAGGTGAAGTGTGTGGTGACATTGGTACCCTGGCAGGTGAGCTTGCTGTGCTCCTCCATCAGTGCCAGCCTCTGCAGGTGTGTCACCTGCATCCCATCCTCCCACACCCCCAGTACGTGGTGCTTCCATCCATTTTGCATTCCCAATCCTTGGTACTCTCTTTCCCTGAACTCCCAGGGTATGGACTGCACCCTCCCTTTGTGCTCCACACCCCCTCTGCCCCCGGGACACAGCAGTCCCACGCCAGCACATCCCAGGGCCATGGTGCTCCCACCCTGGTGACATTCCCATTTCTCCTTGTCCCCATCCCAGATGCCAGTGGCTTCATTCACAGGGGGTGCTCTGGCTGCAGTTCTCGCCTGAGCTCAGCCTCTTCCTCACCTCTGAGCAGCCCCACAAACCACATCCACACCCTCAGCTCATGGACCTCACTCCGTGTCCCCCCTGCTCCTTTTCCCTGACTGGGGACTTCCCACCCTGACCATATCCAGAACACCCAGAGACCTCAGGTCCCACCCACCGGACCCATCTCCTGTCCCTCATAGCCCTTCCCACAGCCAGGTGAGCTCCTCCGGTGCTGCCTCCCTGTTCCCATTCCCACAGGCAGTGCCGTGGCATCACTGACACCTTGGCACACCCCAGGCTGTGACTCAGTGTCCCTCCTGGGACGGCACCTCTGGAACTCATCATCCTTCGTGGAACAGCACCCTCATGACCAGAATCCTTTGTGGAACAGCACCTTGTGACTCAGTGTCCTCAGGTCCGCCCCAGGAGCTCCCACCCTGGCACACAACGTGACTCGCTCGTCACATCCTTGCCTCTCCTGGCTCTGCAGGTGTGGCTGCACCACCCCTGGCTCGGTGCAAGCCCACCCCTCGTGTCCCCAAACCCCCCCGAGCACCTGCCCTGCCACCAGCCTGGCTACCCAGAGCGCTCTTTGGAGACAGCCCCGCTCCAGATCTCCTCTCCTGTTTCATCCCTGCATCTTGGGAAGTGACTGCCACCTCCTGGGAAGAGCAAGCGACAGGCTGGGTGAGATCCAGGAGGTGGAAGTTAAAGTCAATAAAGCCCAGCTCCGTAATTAGGTGCAAACCTTCACTGAAGCAGGAGTTAATGAGGGGATTAGTGGCTATAAATAAACAAAGGATTTCTTGTGACTTGTAAAAGATGACTCCGTGCTTTCGGGAAGGCTGGCTGCTCTCCAGGTGATCTCGGTGATCCCAGGGCTGGTTGGACCTTACCTGTTGAGGTTCATTCTGATGATCCTAAAGCACTTCACCTAAAGCACTCACCTTTGGTGAGGTCAAGCCACCTCAACTCTGTCTGCATAAGGGCTGAGGTGGTGTTGGGGTATCTGAATCCTAAAAAGCAGTTTGTAGCTTCCTCCACCAACTCCCAACTCTATGGATATTCAGGAAGGAGGATGGGCTGCTGTGTCCAATTGTTGTTATTTATTTTATCCCCAGGCTCTTGCAGTATTTCCTGGAGCCCAGTCCTTCCTTTCTCGGGGACATCCCTGAATCCCAGCTCTGAGCCCAACACATTGCCATTGGCAGGAGGGATGGAGACTCCTGCCCTGCTTCATCCCCTGCCCATCCTACCCAAATGAGGATTTGAGGGGGCGTCCCCGTGGGAGTGAAACCAAAGAGGTCAAACCATTATCACTTCCTTGAGCTGAACCTGAGCTGAGCTTTGCCAATTCTAACTGGAAGCAAATCACCAGACTTGGACCATGTCACACAGCCAGGGAATTACACAAGTGATTTGGAGTCAGAGCAATGGAGTGGGGATGTGTCAGCAGGTTGGGTGATGATGACCATGGACTGAGAGTTCCTAGAATCCTAAAAAGCTTTGGGTTGGAAGGGACCTTAAAGACCAACTCGTTCCTACCCCTGAGTTCATCCATCCTAGAGCTCAATGACATTTGTGCTTGTTTTTGAAATGATATCAACCAATCGCTCCTGGCTGTTGAGTCTTGCCCTCCCTGTGCCGAGCATTTCGGCTCTGGAGGACTTGACCAGAGGATTACATCTTTGGATTTCCTGGCTGGAGCTGCTCCTCTGAATGCTCTCCAGCCTATGCTGATCCAAATGGCCTGGCTGGTGCTGGTGCTGGGTCTCTCTGAAGCTGAGTGACAGCTGGAGCAGGGTGTGCAGTGAGTCTCGAGGAGGAGGAGGAGGCAGAGCAGGGGAGTGAAGGCTGTGGGCTGGAGCTGCTGTGTCCCAGCTCCTGGGCAGCACGTGTGAGGGAGGGTCCTGCAGAAACAGAGATAAGTTCAGGGAGAGGCCAGGAATCCGGCAAAATGGAAATCTTGGGAATTATCTCAAGAACAAGGAGGAGGAGCTCAGACAGCGGAAACAACTTTAAATCATTCGAGACAGGGTGACAGGAGTCTGGGCAGAGGCAGCACAGCCTGCTGGCTGATGGATTGCCCAGGCTCCAAAGGGAAGGTGAAGGTGACCACTGGTGGCCCATGGTGGACCCTGTGGTTCTGGGCAGGTGTGACCATGGCTGGGTCTGGCGTGGCTGCTTGGTCACCTTCCTTTTCTACATTGAGTGGGGAGTGCAGGTAAAGTCCTC